TATATATATAAAGCCAGCTGTGACTGATTTGTTTTCTCATTTAGCTGTTCAGTGCAACTATCCATTAACTCTTCTGTGTGGTTGTGTCGTCTCGTAGAATAAAGTCATGGGGTGCGAGCGCTGTAAGGACCTGTTCGGCACCCTGGGGTCCCTACAGGCTTCCTCCCCCAGCAGTGAGCGGACGTCCGACGAGCCGCTGGACCAGGAGAAGGACGGGCTGAATGAGCAGCTGAGACACATGGAGCTGGAGCTGGCCCAGACCAAACTGCAGCTGGTGGAGGCCAAGTGTCGAATCCAGGTCAGCAGAACTGAGAGAGGACCGTCATGATCCAGGCCACCAACATGGAGTTTACTCTGTTTATACAGGAAACTGATTCAAGTCAGAATCAACAAAAACACATCATGTTTGTAGCTTTAAGTCACGGCAGGGGTGTCAGACTCGGTTTAACTAACTTTGAGTTTTTGTGTTTAACTTTGACTAAACATGAAGTTTTCTGTCGTTGCTATGGCTGAGCAGCGCTAACAAACAATAACTGAGCTCTTCCTGGTTTTTCCTTCGTAGAATCAGTGTTTTAACATGTTCTCTTGTAAACACTGAAAAGTACAATGTGTACGACGGAGTAACTGTGAAATAAAACAGAAATACTAATAAAAGTAAAAATAAGAGTTTCACTCACTATTAAGGTTGTGGTGAGCAGCTTCCATCTTGAATTCTGAGCTCTCCCACTTTCCGACAGGGAATTCCCACTAGAGGGGCTTTCCAGTTTGAATTTACTAATTGTAAGTGGGAAATTCCCACTTCCTAGTACAACTGGGCCGCAGTAAAAGCAGCCAGAGAAAATGCAGCTAATTGTAGATTTTACACTGTGAACTTTGCCAGCTGTCAGCTACTTTAGAATCTTATGCAGCTCCACCTAGTGGTGAGATGTTGTCTTTTTGTGGGTAAAATAATCAACATGCATTATGGGAGATGTAGTTTATGGTCAATGTGGGCTTTAAATCAGCTTATTTTGAGTCATTAGCACAGGACTATTCAACTAAATTGTTCAGGAGGCCATAGTTACTTAAAGCCAGCAGCTCAGGAGCAGGACAAGTGTTAAATTACTTATTTTAAATCTGTTGATTTAGTTGCATTGAATCAAATTAAAGTTGAAAATTGATTTAAAATAGATTTTAAAAATTCTATTTTATATTTGGGGCATTGAGTTCCCTAGTGTGGTGTTTATGCCTCTTTTTGTCTTTCTTAAACGGTCTGTGAAGTTCTGCTCCCTGAGTTCTTCTTGGTTTCTGCAGGAGCTTGAGCACCAGAGGGGGGTCCTGATGACGGAGATCCAAGCTGCCAAGAACTCTTGGTTCAGCAAGACGCTGGGGTCTCTGAAGAGCTCAGCCTCATCATCTTCCAGCTCTTCATCTCATCCGCCGCCCTCTCCGAAGGACGGGCCTGCCTAGCTGAACCCCGACCCCCTCCCCTCCTCCTCTACCCCAGCAGTGCTGAGCAACACAAGCTGGAGCAACTAGCAGAGAAGAAATGCAGTATTCTTTTTCCAGGTGGGCAAACAAGCTTCTGGGGTGTAGATCAGAGGGTGGGCAGGCAGGTCACTGGAACAGCCACCTGTGATGTATCTGACCTGCTCTGCCTCACAGGTGAACTTCAGTTGTCATTCAGCCTCAGTCTGCAAATCTATTATAGGTCACTTAGCTCCACCTTGTGGTCATTTATCGCTACTGCAAAGAGAAAATCCCTCTGTCACTGTTTAACATCAGAAATATCCCCRCCCTCTGCAAAAGGAATACTGCATTCTGTAGTAATAAGTTGCAACTCTTTATAGTAATATAACGTAAACAATGTTGTTGTATAAATATGTATAACTAATTAATAAGTTTTTTTAATTATCTTGTACAGTTCTTTAAGAGGAAGAAAAACAAGGAAAAGTTCTTATTTCTTTTTGTACTGTTTGGAAAATAAATGTCATCTCTGTAGATGTTAACGTAAGCACAAACAACGGTCTGGTTGAGTCCAAACACTGAGGATCCAAAAAGTGACGACCCGTGTGTTGATCTTTGATTTTATTTTTACCTTCATTTCAGCCAAGCACTAATTCGTTTTGTGWTATTTTAGCTTTTTAWATTATTAGGCTGCAGGTAATGGCGTCATTAATCTACCACTAATTTGATATGATTATAACAGAAAATGAACTTTTTGTTCAGTTTCTGTAAAACTTTAAATGAATCTGTTTGTGTCAAAAAGCTATATCTGTGTCAACATTTAACCAAGCTGCAGCACACATCRCCAGCTCTGGTGGCCTATTTTAAACATTAGTTATCTAACACCCTGCAGACTGCACCYGGATATTCAGCATATGTTACACTTTGCACAATTTATTACTTAATATGCAGCTTTCATCGCTGAAAAGATGCGTTTTCAGTATTGCTCCGTCGTTGCCAAACATTCCTGAGACCATCTGTAAGATTGTGCCAATGCAGGTTTTGTTTATGTTGTGTGAGAATTTAACGTTTTTTATGTCTTAAGCCTGAMGTCCTCGCTGTGTTCACTTTTATATTTGACAATGTGGGAGTAAAGCACCGGATGGTTCCAAAAGTAACAAAACTAATTAAAAGTTAGATTTTTTTTAAATACACAAAGCTTGTTTTATTACTACTTCATGGTAAAAAGCCACAATTTAGGTGCCAGCTGCCGTGCTTTCTTTATGGTTGACACTAAAATCAGCCTTTGGACTCAGACCAGGCCCGTGTGTGTGTGTGTGTGTGTGTGTGTGTGTGCGTGTGTGTGTGTGAGAATTGTAACTGTATGAAGGTGAACAGTTCCTCCTTCACGTGGCTGCCTTTTCTGTTATTGACTGAAACAGTTAGCTGAAGAGAAAAAAAAGCCATCAGACTGAACTGGAGATCAGCTGTGCCATAAAAGTAACACCCCTCCCTGCCCCGCGCTCCTTTCCATGTCTCCCCCCGAGCCCCCCCGCCCGTCTGTACCCACCTCACCACAATGCTGACTTTTCATCTTAAAGAATCTGGGTATCTTTGCAGGGGGAAATAAAAAAAAAAAAAAACAGCAGATTCAGTTTCACATTTCCGGGACATTCCTCCTCCTTCACCGTTCAGGTTGTGAAACCGGTTCCACGTAAAGCCGTCCACGTTGGAGGGAGCTCCCAGTCAGTCATGTGCACTAACAAAACATTAATATTTTAAACACTATTTTATGTTGTTTGTTTCAAAGTTGTTGTTCTTTTTTAACCAGTGACTGTTGCTGCCGATTTATAATCCACTCTAATTCAGTTTATTTCAGTGATCAGTGGATGAGTCCGATTAAAGGTGTGTGTTGTGTAGTTTATAACACCGCAGTCCTGTTACACAGACAGGGACTGGAACTGTCTGAGCTGCATTAATAAACTTCAGTTCTGTTCATTCATGTCTCTTTTTCTATATATATATATATAT